GAGCAACCTGGTCTAGTGGAAGGTGTCCCTGCCCATGGCAGGGAGGTTGGAACTGGATGATCTTTAAGGTCCCTTCCAACCCAGACCATTCCGTGATTCTATGAACGCAGCCACGTTGAGAACTGCTCAGGACACCGCTACACCGAAACTCACGGCCTGTATGTTGGTGTTTATGAGTCCAGCGGCTAAACAAGCCGCATGGAGCAGCCAGGAAATTCAGCCCAGACAAGTACCCTCTGACGACAAAATGCTGTGGGTTAGGGGTTCTTGGAGCAAAATTACCCCAGGTACCACACGAGATATGTTTCAAGAGGTGAGATGAGACCAGGGAAGGAGAGAAACCTGAAATCAGACTAAATTAGAGAAGCACAGTTTCCTTCGACATCAGGGACCGTGAAATTCCGCTGCGCTGTTGGCACACCCCGTGCGTGTCCTGCAGAAGGGCTCGGAGAAGCAGGTGGAAGCTCGTTCTGGAGCAACACGCAACATTACGGGCACTGCAGAACCCCCCAGCGCAAGCGTTTTGGGGCAGCGTTCGGCACACGTGGGAATTCAGTTCAAACACAGAAGGGCTGAGCTGAGGAGGAGGGGTGGCCGGTTCAAATCTGGACTCTGTTATCTGCAGCAGGGGATCACCGCTGCGGGCTGCCTGCATCATGGTCTGCGTGAGATGAACCAACCCCACCAGTCGCCTCCTGGGAAGTCAGGAAACCACAGCACAAACTGCGCCCCGGAGCTGCTGGAGCCTGGTGTCGGCTCGGGCTGTCATAGCCGGATTCCTGCCTGTCTACAAGGCATCCCATAGACGGAAGGTTTTGCCACGGTTGGGGAATTCACATCTTTCCCACGTAAATTCTCCCGAGCCTAACCAGAATTTGGCGCACTCTGGAGCCTTTCCCACAGCCGCAGCGTTCGCAGGCTCTGTCCCCTCACCCTGCCTCCCCCCGTTATCTATTCCCAGTCCCCAGCACTGCTAACTCACTGCCAAAGCTTCCTGAGGAGGTGGTAAGTCAGAGACACAAACCCACCGAAGTGAACCCCACAGGTCTCGTCCCCCGCGCTGAGCACCGCCGGGCACACTGCCCTGGCGTCCGCCTTCCGAACACGATTGTCAGCCAACAGCAGGAAAAACTGTGCTTAGGACCGGGAAAACATATTCCACAGCAACATTTGCACCAGGGGAGAGAAATCAGGATGGAAAGATGTCGGTGAGTGGCTGGGGGTGGGGTTCAAAAGATGCTACGGCAGCTGGGGACAGACTGCTCCGAGGAGACCAGCTCCTGAACACCTCCGTTCCTCGAACCCCAGGAAGGCATGTCCCACTTTAATGAGACACATTCCCTGACAATCAGGCTAACAGAAACCTTCCCAGTCTGCTTTAAAGAACAAAATTGGGCCTGTTATTCCAATACAGTAATATTAAAACCTTTTAACATTAGACACAAGTCCACTGCTGGCAACACGTTAGATGCTGATTTAAAAAAAAGGCTTCGTTTAATCACTCTCAGGTTATTGCCCATCGCACCAGACGAGCGGGAACCGCGCTTCACTCATTTGCTTTCCATTAAGAAAGAGGAAGGTTTTGATGTAAAGCTCCTGTTTCAATTTGCAGACACACACTGCTCAGAACCCGCTTTGATGCCTAAAACCCAAATGGCTTTTAAGGCACTGATTTGAAGTTCACAGCAGCCCCATTAGGGGTGATTTTGCCTCTTTTTTTTTATTTCATCAGCCCAGAGGGGAGCAGCTGGATGCGCAGGGGACAGCTGAAATCCAACCTCTTCCAAACCTCACCCTGGCAGAGTAGCGGGGTCCCAGCCCACAGGCAGGGATGGGAGATGGAGGGTCACAGCCAGAGGCAGCTGCACCCATGGTCTCAAGGTAACCAAAACCCTGCGTTGCCCACCCATGTGCAATCTGGGGACAGAGGGGCTCCTGTCAAGGGGCAGCATTTCAACAGGAATGTGTATGCAAATCCAGGTGGCAATAACCCAACATCCTTTCTTCCCTGAGATCAGAGAATCGTACAATAGAATCACAGAACAGTTTGGGTGGGAAGGGACCTTAAAGCCCCCCCAGTCCCACCCTCTGCCATGGGCAGGGACACCTTCCACTAGACCAGGTTGCTCCAAGCCTCATCCAGCCTGGCCTTGAACACTTCCAGGGATGGGGCATCCACAGCTTCCCTGGGTAACCTGGCCCAGTGCCTCCCCACCCTCTCTGGGAAGAATTTCATCCTGATGTCCCATCTGGATCATCCCTCTATTTAAACCCGTTACCCCCTGGTCTTGTCCCTACAATATTACTATCGTTTCTTACCTGTTCTGCGCCCACCATGCTGATAGGTTTGCACTTGAAGAGATGGTTAATGAACTTGGGAATGAAAGAGCTGCAGGGAAAAGGTAGAAAATGACACAATTACATGTCAGTATTTGGAGTCTCCATGCTGCTCTCAAAGTTAGTGGAGAAGATGCACTTATACTCCATGTAAATAAATTGCTACAGGCTATATATAGTCTTGCAGTCTAAGGCCAAGGAGAAGCAAACCAAGTATCGTACGTAATAAACCCAGCAACACATCAGGATTAGCAGCACTGCTCACGGGGTGGAAGTATCCTGAGTGTATCCAGAACTTACATTTTACTGCATACTAGTAATTCCATAACATGCATATTACACACTGAACTTGAGGTTCAGCCAAGGCTGGAGGTCTGCTGGGCCCTGGACATTCCCACAGAATGGCACTTTTCCAGAGAGCTTCTAGCCAACACAATCAAGGCAAGAAAAAGCTTTGTGAAAAGGAAAACACCGTTAACCTATTTCACTAACGTGGATGTCAGACCCAGAAAAATGGCTACGGTACATATACTCAACCGGGAGGAATTCGGCCAGTATTCATCACCTCAGACAACACACTCCAGAGCTCTGGGGTTAGCTTTCTGCACCTTGGGTTCAGGCTTTGTGCTAGTCTCCTCATCAGTGGAGGAGCAGATGCTCCCTTCTAGCAGAAGCAGCAAGACAAGCTCCCACCCCACCTACTCTACCAAGGAAAGGTATTTTTCCTGGGGCTCAACCAGCAGCAGGAAAACGCAGGAGCTGAACACGAGGAGAGGGACCAGCGTGAGCAGCAGGAACTCGGTCTGTCGGGACCACACCGCTCATACCCGTCTTCCTTTTGCTGCCCTGTTTTTGCTGTACTCCGCTTCTTTCACAGGGCCTTTCGGCTGAGTGCCCGCCAAGCTCACGTCTCCAGGCCCTCGTCCATGACCTGGTGGCAGGTCTTTGATTTTAATGGTTCTGCCCCGAGCCCACGTAAGTCGGTCCGTTTTCTGCCCTTTCGAACGAGGTGCCGTTTCTGGTGATGATCTAAATTCAGCGCGGTTTCCCCCTCACATATGTGTTTTCTTCCCACAAGGCAGGGAGCATGGACAGCATCTTGTTTGTCCTGCCACCTGTTTTTCCAAGCCAGGATGTTTATTTTTTGCCCTTTCTCATGGAAGAATGACAAAAGTGTAACTCAGGCAGAGAGCACGCCAAGCTGCTGAGCAAACTGAAAGGAACGGTTCAAGGAAGAGTCCTTCCAAGCAAAGGCTCCTTCCCTTCCCCTTCCCTCAGACACAGTCACGACCTCTCTCAGTGAATCATCTTTTCCTGGAGAGGTGTCAAGGAGAACAATTTCAAGCTACTACTGAAAACCAGCTACCGGGCTGCCCCAAACAGCTCTGAATTTGGCCACCGGAGAAACAACTTTGGCAACAAAATAGAAGTAAGAGGAGGAAAACAAGCCCTGTCTCCTCGTGCGTGAAAGCATTACAGCAGAGATGTAACTTATCTGGTCCAGGAATCCATTTTTTGGGTGTGTAATGAACTCCCAGAAGGCAATTAGAGTGCCAAGCACAGCTGGAGCTTAGGTGATCCGATAAAATGATCAGTCGGTAGCAGCTCTGCATGCAGCAGCCTGTTACAAAGCGGAAGAGCACGAGAGATTAATTGTACCTTTGATCTTGCACGTAGGTCCAACTCTCCCTCTCTCCGTAAGGTCAGGCATGGAGCTAATGCTCCTGCTGCGTGTGAGAAACAGGGAGAGCCTTTCTTTCTGCAGGGTGGCAGCCAAGGGACCCCCTCCCCTCTTTTTAATCTTTTCTCTGTAACCACATGGTCTCCCATAGACAGCATTCCGTCTTGCAGGAAACAATTCCCAGGCCCCTTCGGATGGCCACCCACCATCAGTGCAGCAGGGTAAAGCGACCTTCCAGCCCCACATGCCTGTTATTTCACGCTGCCTTATTGGAAACAGCTCCTCAACTCCAGCAGGACAGAGAAGACAAACCGTAAGAGCCAAAGGACGCTCTGGTATTCTTTTCTTTTCTGGACTAGCAGAGACCATCGAGAGCAGTTGCACAACTTGCCTAGGCTGGACTCGACGCTTGGCTCTCTGAGCAGGCGATCCTGATGCGAATAATACGTGCGTGTTCAACGGTAACGCTCTACACGCGGTTTTGTACTCTAAATGCCTTCGCTCCCCGCGCATCCACGGAGCTATACTGAGTGCCAGAGTTCATTTGCAGTTTTGGCTGTAAAACTGGATCCAGCAAACCCTCCATAGAAGCAGACGAGTCCCCAGTGTAACAATAAAGCGGCGCAAGACAGATTAGGAACCTAAAGCACAGAAACCACAGCATCTGAGAGGCTCCCATCCAACGGGATCGGCTCTGCCAGAGCCTGTGTTTTCCTAATCCCCTGCACGGATGATGCATCCCTCACGCTGCCTTGCTAAGCAAGGCTGAGACGCAACCCCAGTCTGTCTGTCCTGAGCTGCTCCAGGACATCATTCCCAGCATCCCGGTGTCACTGAGTCACTGCAGCTGAGAAGGGTTTTGCTTTTGCCACCCTCCCAGGAGTGACCGGCCCTTGCAGGCTGGCCCAGGCGTAGCTCAGCCACTGCTTCCAAACCTCCAGGAGCCTGCTCATCACAATCTTCTTCCACCTAACTCCCCTGCAAGCCCGATGCAAAGGCCAGAGGAAGAGGAGGACACCTGCTGCAGTCACCCACCACACCTGGCTGCTCGCGATGGACGAGGCACTTCTCTGGCGACGGGGGGAGCAGTTTGTTTTTCCTATCTCTCCCTCCTGATCTCTTCCTCACCGAGATCAGGTCACAGACTTCCCAAACACATCCCGGCGTAGAAGCCACAGCTTCACTGCTCCAGTTTTTGATTTCAAAGCGTAAGGACTGAGGTGGAGTGAGAACAGAGCCCCCCACCCTGCCTGCGAGTGCCTCCTGGAAAGCCGGTCGCTTCTCACCATTTCAAGGGAGCGAGGGTTGCATATTGGTCAAAACAAAGCAAAAATGACAAATGAGTTTTAGAGGATTGATGCGATTCCTGATGTACATTTTTCTTCCTCCAGAGTTGGCTCACATCCCTCAGTTTTAAATTTAGTGACTGGAGACGCCGTCTCCCCTGTGGTCCTGTAACTCAACACGCGCGCTTTACACAATCCATTAGCGCTGAGAAGCGGCTGGCAGTTCAAAAAGATACAGGCGTTCACGGACGGAGAAGCACAATGCCTGTTAAAAAGAATTTTCAGCGCTGGGGAGCACACAAATCCAGGTATTTATATGGAGCAGGCCAGCGTGTTCCGTAACGACTCAGAGCTTCTCAAATACAGATGTTTGTACGCATTACAATGCCAGAAGCATTTTAAGTGGGACAGTGCACCCTCGCCCCTGGGTCACTTCTCCTTAAAACCAAGTCGTAACAGAAGGATGCTACACGTGACCCGGCAAAACCAACCTTCAGGAGCCAAATTTTCACTTCTACGCTTGATCCACGGCACGGTGAATTCAGGACTGTGCCTTGATTTTAATGTGCTGCAGATCAGGGCTGCAGTGGTATTACAAAGGTTTCGAGGCGGTGTCTGGGCTCTCCTGTGGAACAAAGCCGTGGAGGCAGGCGGCTTCACGTTCCCCAACGGGAGAGCTGGGTACTTCATCCTGAGTTTACTCGGCGTGTGCTTAGCAATCAAGTTAAAAGGGAGGGAACTAAGCTGAGGTGTTGAGTGTGCTGTGAACAGCTGAGTAAAGGGGGAGGGTTATTTATCACCGTGTTGGCGATATAAAATTCAAGCGTAACCACATAGAAGGCTTAAGTGCAATAAATTTTCACTGAGACAGCATTTCAAACAGCGATTATGGGCAACGCCACTGTATGATTTATCAGTAACTGCTCCTTAACGCAAACTAATGAGTACCGTGAGATAGAAAGAGGCAGCGAAACTCGGAGGCCAGCCTCCCCGCTGCAAACGCTAACGGTTCTCAGGAGAGCCTGCTGCATCCTTCCCCGCCGAAGCAGGAGCTGAAGCTCCGCCGGCAAACCCGCACAGTAACTGCCAGGCCACACAGTTTATTTCAGGATGATGAGCTTATTGCAGATGAATGAAGCGTTCAGGTATTTTAGAGTGACACATGATACGCATGGTGCTCGCTCCCAAGTCCACCAGCAGTCACATGCAACCGCAGCAGCCGCAACTGGCCGAGCCCTCCCGCGGGTTGTTCTTGGGGTGCTGGCCAGCACGGCTCAGCTGGCCAAAGGCAAGCAGGGAAGAGCTCAAAGTACCTTCCCAAAGAACTGAATTCTTGTTGCAGACATGGCTGCAGAGTTTGGATGTCCAAGAGATGCTGGAGAGCTGCACCCTCAACCCTGAGTCCAAAGGCAAGGGGAATTTCTGTCTCGCCTTCCCGTCCCTTCCTGCTGCCCGACGTTAAGTGACTTGCCAAGAAGACACTCGTCATATCCCTAAATCTGAACATGTAGTTCCCCTCCCCTTCTGAACTATTCTTGCCCTGAACTATTCTTTCAGACTGTGAAGATAGAACATACTCCTCGCACATGCCCTCCTTCCAGCGCCACAGCTATTACGAAAGTCATTTTGAGGCAAATGACGCATCAAATTTCTCAGTACCTGGAAGCAGCCTCTTACCACCGGAAAGAAATGTTCCCGTAGCAAGAGTCGTGTCCACATTCAGATTTTCAAAGCCTTATTTAGATGTCCAACCCCAAACCTTCTGTACTTGGCCAACAGAGGACAGTGATCAGGTCACTATTTTATGGGATGGTTTAGGCACATGAAAAGGAACTATGATACAAATGTCTGAGAAAATCTGCCTCGGCAGGAAACTTGAGGCAAGAAACTGAAGTGTCTTTCAACCCTGGCAGCAGCTGCTGGTGTTTGCTGCCCCACTCCACCTCCTTCCATGCTCTCCCTGGTCGGAGAGGATCCTCACCCGGACACCAAGCGCCACCGACGCTGCAGACGAAAGGCAAATCGACCCTCTACGAGCAACGAGCGAGAACCAGAGACCCCGGGAATTTCTGCGCCACGCCGGTTAACTTACTTTGCAAATTTTATACAGAACTGAGTGAAATACTTCCTTGTGGAGGCCAGGTTGTCGCGGATGATGGGGACGTTCTGTTTAATGTGGAGAATCACTGAGGTGACATAAGGACTCTGGTCACCGACGTGTTCCACGTTCTGCCACTGCATCTGCACAAAGGGGAAAAAACAACCAAAAAGCCTGTTTAACTCATCAGGATTCAAGCAATAGGTGAGGAAAGCTGTCCAAACTTCCTGCCAAAAGATCCCTAAGGAATCATCAAGACACCACCCCTGCAATTCACCACCAAGGTCGAGTTCTTCGGCACTATAGTGCTTAAGCAAAACTCTTCCACAACAGAATACAAAGAAAACCAGCGCAGAGATTGTGACGGGCAACCTACACACACGGGGATCACTAGGATTAAAAAGGCTTTTGGAGCACACCAGGGCTGCCTTAGTATTTAACAGTTTCCAGTTTGCCGGGTTGAAGTGCCCATAGAAATCCCGATTACAGGCATTTGGGAAAATATCTGCAAGCTTGCAAAGTCTGGATTCCTGTATGGCAGCCAAGACTTTTATACTGATGAGACTGATGACACATAGATGGAAGAGGTAGAAATAGTCTCAAAGTCCAAAGCAGCCTACACCGGCGCAGCTCGTGTTGAAAACACTTTGGGTGTGCAAGCCAGGATGGCAGCTTCAGCTCATCCCAAACACACGTAAAAAAAATACAAAACAAGGTGAGTTACTCAATGACCCATTTTGTTTTCATTGACCGTCAGCAGAAATGCAACGGAATAGCCCCTGTGAGCCCGATGTCCGCCTGCCTTCGGCTTCCCTAAGCCTCGTTTGCAGCACACAGGGACTACACGGTGCAAGTCATGTGGAAAAACAAAGAGGCAGTTGGGTAAGGACGGCCAAGCGTCCGTGTGCGTAACGAAGTCTCACTGAGGAACCTGCAGAGAAGAGCTCCCAGCTCTGCTACTGTTGAGAGACCATGCTCTGCTGCGTGCTCCGTTTGGAGACGTCGTTCCTCGTGCTGGAGAGGAAACAGAAGGAAAACAGGTATGAAATCAGGACAGAAAACTGGGCACACGCCCAAGATGAGCTTTTTCTGTTGAAGGAGTGTTTGTCCTCAAACTTGTCTTCTCAAGTTCTGCATCTCGCATGTAAGAATTTTTATTCCTGGCATTAATTTAATTGCAGCTTTGCTCACTGCAAACCCAGCTGCTTCGATTCCACCCAAGCAACATACAGCCGAAGTGGCTAAAAGGGCAACAGAAGCCAAATTCCTTGCAAAACCACAGTGTCTGAGCGTCCGCACGTGTCCTACCAAAGCTATCTGTATTTAACCCAACCACCCAAACCCCAACCTGCTCATCTCGCATCGCCCGGGTAGCGAGAAGGGATCAGGTTTTCATTCCATCTCACTTGCATGTGGAAGTCTGCACAAGAGACAACTGCTTGTCTGCTCCTCGTGGTACTTGTCATACCCAAAGAAAACCCTCTGTGCCCGTCTCCCCGTCGCACTCGCGCATTCCCAGCACCGGCCCTTCCCCACGGACAACGATCCTCGACACGCAGACCATCCCCATGTAGCGGGAACAGCCAGAAAGTGGGAAGGGACCACTGAGTTGAATTATTGCAACAACAGTAAAACAGTAGCTTTTTCATTTTGTTGGTCTTCGTTCCAAAAGCAATACTTTACAACCAAACCTTTAAAGCATGAGCAGTAAAAATAGCCCTTTGTGTGTGTATGTGGGTGTGTTTCACCCCAAAAAAACCCCAGTAGCTGCACTGAAAGACACAGTACACATACTGAAAAGTCATCAAAAGAAATATGAGCCCAAGTCTTCTGGTAAAGCTTTGTTCCTGTCACATTAAATTTATTCCTCTCTTGCCCTCGTCCCATGTTTTTCTTGGGACAGCCACAGAGTTTACATCCACAAGCTGAAAACGAGCCCAAAGAACAGGAGCAGCGAGGCCTCGCGCTTGCCGGCCAAGGGGAGAAGCCCACCGCATGGGCACGCCAACAGCCGCACGCTGCAAGGACACGGGGCGACACGGCCCCATGCGAGGGCAGGAGCCGGGTTGGAATACCCGGTGAGGCCTCCAGAGATGGTTTTTACAACAAAAGCACAGGATCCTCAGGAATTTAGGGTGCTCTGTTAAAAAGGAGGGGAGAAGAGTGAAACCCTGAGCAAACCTGGGCTGGTTTGGCACATAACAAGAGCTTCACCGCCTTCTGGGCGTAGCGGGGGCTCAAGAGTACCGCTGGGTCTGCCGGGCTGTGGGTCCCCACGTGTCCCTGTGTCCCCAGAGAGCTGGGAATGGGGTGGCAGGGCCAAGCCAAGTGCCTCCTCCACGCCCAGCACTGACGTGGGTCTCTAGCAAAAGGGGATGCTGCGTGATTTAACGGAGGATGAACCAGCCTCCAAGGCTCCCTGCACTCAGCAGCATCCCACTGCCAGCTTATCCCTACAGGCTCCAGCGCTGGGCACATCCGTATGCACCCAGCCAGCCCCTTCTCCCTTGACTCTGCGTCATGCAGGGAGAGGAAAGCCGGCGGGTGCTGCAGGCAGCAGCGCGCTGCCCCTCGTTTGAGGGCTGAAACACGTTCACGCTGACTTTAATTAGCGCCTGGCAGCTTGGATTGCTCTGCGCGTGGGGCTCTCCTCGCACGCTCGCAGAGGTTATTAGCGCCCTGTGTCGAAGCGCTTGCTGTTGTCCACTCAGTTGTAAGGAAGGAGGAAATTGCAGCCGTGCCAGGAGGTTTTAGCAAAATATAAAAAACCAGCGAGCAATCAACATAAGTCACTAAAATGTCCCCCAGCCCCACTTACAGCACAGTTTTACATATAAATCGATGCTTAATTCGGCAAGTAAATCAACCCTTATCCAGTGCAATCCATAAACTTAATTGAGGCAAAAATATCCCATGCAGATTCGCAGTTCCCTCAACCCGGTAATTAAGAATAAAGCACACCCGGCCAGTTAAGCGCCTGCTCCAGATCAGTCCAACACATTCACAGCACCTGGTTATCCCAAATCTGACAGCAGGGATTTAGGGCAAATTCCTCTCTCACCCCACACCCCAACTCCCCGTCCTACGGCTCTGTTTAATCCTTCCACACCTGCTGCAGAGTCTGAGTAACGATTGTCACCTACAAATTTTGTAATACGGGGCCTTCTCGTCCTTTCCCGTTTCTTCCAGAACACACTCGGCAAATAATCAGGGGAACTGAGCACCATTCCCAGCTGAAAGCAATATTCCCAATGCTGTTTTCTGTGTTAAAGCTCTCGAAGTGGCCTGCAGCCAAAGTGGGTTTAGAGGTTTAAGTGTTTCTTAATTTACCTCTATAGTTACCGACCATTCTTGCAAGGATTAAAAAAGAAACAAGCCAGACTTCAACAAAGGACGGGGAATGTTGAATCTTGGAGGACACCGGAGTGAAGTAAGTGAAAAGAAGCTAAACAAAGGAAGAGCTGTAATGGAGTGGGGGGTCTTGAGACAGACGTGCCGTCCCAGTCCAGGAAAACTGGAATGGATCAGGCCCACAGTCTTTATTCATTTAATAAAGACTGACATTTTACACATCCAAATGCTAACTCCGCATTTAAATAATGGTACGCATTCCTTAGTCAACTGTCAAGAGTCATAACCCAGCCCCGAAGAAAAGGGAGGAGGAGGATGAAGGAAAAAAAACCCTCTTGCACCCAACCCAGGTCTAGTAAAAATCACATAAAAGCAACTCTTGTCTGATGCAAACAGCGAAATGTGTGCACGAGTGACAAGCATTTATTTAGCTAATTTCATAACACTCCGCTTGTTTACGTATCATCAGTCCCATCACATGAGCTGCATTTTACCCGTGTTCCAAAGACAAAAATAAATGGCCTACCAGCTGCTGCTTCCTCAAGGTTGTGGTTTACTTGGGTACAAACAGTCAGAGCTAAGCCAGTCAAACACCACCGCGCTACGTAGGCGCAGGAGGAGATCTAAGGAACTGTCAGGGCACACACGCAACACCTGAAGTGCTGAGCCCTTCCCGACGGTGTTATTTCACTGGGCAAAACAATCCTGGTTTCATTTGGAACACGTACAAGCTCCATTACCAGCTGCATTCCGCTTCAAATATTAGCTGGGGGTGGCGGGGCTAGTTGCAGCTGGAATACATCATAAAGCAGAGAGCTATTAAAATTCATGGCAGCGAGACTGTGTGTTGATCCTACAAAAATGGAGCGCTCTGTTTAATATTTCTAATTAAAACAATAGTTCAATCCACTTTTGTTGTCTTCACCTCCGTCTAGAGCAGTGGGTTTTCACAATCCTTTGGCAGGAAAACACAGCTCTGTATTTCCAACGTATAAAAGGCAGCAGCGTAACTGCACCAAAACCCTGAGGTGCTAATGACACCGGCGTTGCTCGGAACGGCTCCGTATGTCCTTGAGAGGATCACAGAAGCAACAGGGCTCCACCTCAACTCCGTATTACCCTTTGAGCACCTTCAGTTAAGAGCCACAAACAAGCAGGTTAGTAAAACTCGTCAGGCAGCACAAAGAAAACGGCGAACAAGAAGGTGCATTCGAAATTTCACACTAACGGAAGTTTTCCTAATTTTAAAGGCCCTCACTGGCGTTAGGGGCAGAAAGAGAATGCCTTGGAAACTTAGGGAAAGTACTGTGTTATCCATGTGTTTCAGTGTGCTGCAAGAGAGTGAAAGCTGTAATCCAAACGCTGGGAGTTCTGGGAGTGAAGGATATATTCCCAACTACAGCAACTACTGCTCAAGAAAAAATCAATATATAATATATAGCTAAGTCTCAGGGCAGCGTAAAAGGATGTGTCAATAGTGAAATCAAGCAATCAAAGCAAACAGAAACTCCACACGGATCCTAAGGTTACCTCTTCCCAAAACAAATCCATCCCTACCTTGCTCATAGCAGTCAGGGCAGGGTCACAGGCTGCATCCAGGTCCTGCACCAACAGCTGGATGCTGTTGGAGATCACACTGCAAAACAAGCACGAGTTTTAGGGTGGTATCCGGCAACGCAGGGCCATAACCAGCGTACCTGACTGGGAAAGGAGGAAAATCCCCCAGGAGCCAAGAGCAGCGTCCCGCCGTGAATACGCACGGCTGAGAGTTGGGCTGAAAAGGCAGCGGGAGGTTCTGCAGATAAGGTATCACCCACCCAGAACCGCTGTTGGGACCTGGGTGTGTTCACCGCACCCCACACAGGTTGTCTATCCCCTTCCCAGAGCTCGAGCACACAAAGACTGGAGCAGGATCCCAAGTAAGACTGCTCCTTCAGGGCAATTAATTCGTTGGTAAAGGCAAACTCATCCAAAACGAGTTGGGAGAATGAATATGGGAAATGAAGCAACCACTGGCTTCAAGTTACATGATCCGAAACTTGCACTGGGATAAAAGTCTGTGAGCGTTTCTGCTGGTACCTCCACATCTGCTGGATTCACTCCCTTGGGGGATTCCACCAGCCCACGCAATGCCAAGGGAGCTGGGCTGAAGTAACCATCTCTTGGGCACTGCTGGCAGTGACTTTTGGAGAGAGCTGTGGTTCAGCACCAAAATGAAACGCAACCCGCTCCGCGGGAGCGAAGTGACTTCATCACTACCCTCTGCGCGCCAGAAGCCTGCCCGACGCCGCTCGACCAAGTAGAAGCTCTCACCTAAAAATCCCAGGATTGCAGACAGGAAGATAAACCTCTTTGCCTGCCCTTCAAAATGAATACCTGCTGCAGAGGGGTAAGGGTGCAGCAAGGAGCGTGTGGCAAGCACAAAGCATCACGACATGCCAAGAGGGTTTGGGTCCTGGGTCTGCCAGAAGCCCCTTCAAACCCCCGTCTCGGGCAGCACGTCAGTACTTCCGTGGCCATTACTGAATCCCTATGCAATCCCTGACAGACCCAGAAGCTGATGGATCAGGAAGCTGAGGCCACAAACGAGCAGGATAGTTCTAGTGAAGAAAGTTCTTACTAGAGCCAAGTGCAACGTTTCAGACCTTTGAGGGGTCTCTGAACACCGTTTATAATCTCACAACGGATCAATAGGGCAGGGGGGTGGGAATCACAGATTTCTGGATTCACACGACAATAATTTTCCTTCTGCTGAGCTTCAAAGAGAGCTCGTTACCTTTTCCACATTTCCTACAGAAAAAGCTTAGCCACCCCAGGGGTAAAACCCCCGAGCTGAGCACTTCATAGGAATTAGGGTTGGTTCTGCAATCTCCTTTCTGCGAAGGAAGAAACGCTTTCCAGAGAAAGCAGGGACGTTTTATCTCTTTCTTTATGACCGTGCCTAACACGACATCAAATCCCAGAAGAAACAACTTGTTTGATGTTGGATGAGCAGACGCCGGAGAGATTTATAGCTGTGACTTACACTGACAGAAGACTGGACAAAGTACTGTGCTGGAACAGACCGAAAGTCAATTAAAAAGCCTTCGTTAGAAGACACGTCAGGCCTGTCAATTTAACTTTAAAGCTGTCCAAAGCTGCACACGTGAGCGATACATTTAAACAATTTCCAAAACACATCATATTGGCCACCTATGGGGAAGCTGAGCAGCAACTCAAGGCAGCTGCCCCAGCCGGACCGGTCGCATGAGAAGGCGGAAATCGCCCTCAACCTGTCCACGTGAAGAAAATCCCACCACATGGCATGTTTTATTTTACTCCCCAGCTCCCTTTGGTTTAGTGGATGCAGCAACCCTAGCTGTTGGTCAGGGATTCACCCTTAAAAAGGTCGGAGAATGATCTAAAGGGAAGGGAGTCTCTGCAGCCTGGAATGGAGCCTGAGACCATGTGAAAAACCTGGATGGAGATGCAGTGGGATCCTGCCCACTGGAGCAAGAGAGGAGGAATCACAGGAAGGAAGTGTTCTGAAAAAAATCTTACTGCTATCTGGGCTGAATCTTCGTTTTAAGGAGAAGGAGAGCTGGTGATAGGAGTTATTTTCCCAGCTTTGCCAAGGTTTTCTTTTGTCTGCTGCGAGGCACAAGTTGTTTTTCTTGCCTCGATTTCCTTCTCTCAAAAACTATCCAATCTGTTTGTCAGTGGTGGAGAGGAGAGGATGTTAGAGGGGAGTATTTTTAGCATCGTTACGTGAAAAGTTATTTTAATGAATGGTAATCTTCTATCAATTATAATCCCCAAGTGTAAGATTGGATCAGTCTTTTATGTCATCTGAAATGGGGTTTGATCATACTGACAAGGCTGCTGATTAACAGTGGGAAGTTAAAGCAGGAAGGAATGTACCGAAATAGCTCCCTTTCTTGAAATGTAACAGCCACCTCACAGAGCTGCCAAGATGCAAATGATGTTTCAAATGGAAACTCACTATTTCCTTTCCCCTTTCCAGTGCTCTTGTTCCTTTGGCTAGGACGATGGAGAACAACTCCATCTGAAGTCTGTACTACTGCTGCTCTGGGACCAGCCAAAGGATGACCATCCCTTCACCAGGGAAATGCCTACGCCTGGGCTGCATCTCTGGGTGGGTCCTACGACACTGGGATTTCGGGCTTGTATGACTCCAGCACCATCTGGCTGACAAACTAGGATGTCTGACAGATTCTGGCAGGATGCATCTGCTGAACGTACATGCTGAAAGTGTCCATCTCTCCCGTCAGGTTGATTCTCTCCACTAGACTTGCATCCACTTTTTCTTTGAGTTTCTCTTCCAACTGTTAGGAAACAAAACAAGGAGAAGAAAGATCAGATTTCTTACTTGGAACGACAAGTCTTGAAAACTTACATCCTGGAAAAGTCAGCTTCTTAAAACGTAACCTATGCCCAGACTAAATCCAAAACTCAGCCAGCGAACAATGGAAATCTCTCCTTGCTGGACACCCCAGAGGCCTTGATCTGCCAGGATGGCCTACGGTGGCACCACGTCCCCAAAACAACTGCCAAGGTCACACGTAACTCTAGCCTGATACGCTAATGTACGAGCTTAACACCATGGCACCTGTCCTTCTAATAAAGATGTTTTCCAGCACCCTGTCTGTGTCCAAACTGCAGAGGACGAGGATTGCCAGTTCTACGGGTGGAGAGGCCATGATACGGCCAAACACCACAGCTCATCTACCAACCTGCGGCATTTTGAAAGCACCTGAACATAAGGAGCACTGTGGCTGCAAAGCATATCAGTGTAAATACCTCCTCCTCACCCCATCTTCCCCCAGTATTTCATGCAAGCGGCTTCCTAAACCTATTCTGAGTTACTGTTTTTCTTGGTTTTATAAAAGGGAGATTGTGAACCATGAGAAGAGACTTCTTTTAATATAAAAAACTTGGTTCCCAATCCAAAACAAATATAAAAAGATAGTGTCCAAAACTGATGCTGCAAAGCAGGATGACAAGCAAATGACTTTTCTCAGGTGGAAACAGCAAAATCAATACTTTTCTTTCTTTGACATACAGATTTAATAACGTAGAGCTCAATAATCAACGGGATGCTCTGTGGAGCAGACACTACTACGGATCTTTTAGTACTTCTGACTCTCCCAGTCAGACTTCTCTCGTGACGGAAGAAGGGCTGCTGCTGGGTGCCTTCTCAGAGGTGCCGCGAGGAGAGCTCACCTGCTGGGTGGTTGCCAAGCAGTACTCTGCAGTGCTGAGGATGCTGCAAATGAGGCAGAGTTCTTCTAAAGTAAACTTAGCCACTTCAGAGCCTTCCTTTTCTTTCAGCAAACTAGTGATGGTGAGCCCACCACTGCTGCTAGTTGTCCTGAGGGCAAAAAACAGAAGGCAAAACCTGTAAGGTTTCAGGGGTACAGACGCACACAATGCAAAATTACTTCTAGGTTTCCAAGCCATAAAAAGCCCTTATGACCACAAAGTCCATTGTCTTGTGCATCACGGATCAGTGTCATTCTACCTCAAACCTGCAATTGCTACTTTGATCAAGAAATATCCTTTAGGGAGGCAAACAGGAGTTGATATCAAGTCTTCAGGCAAAGCACAGTTCATTCACAACGTGGTAGATCAGGATGCAAGTGGAATGCAGCTTTCCCCAGTCAGCTTCACCTTCCCCAGTCAGCTTCACCTTTGCTGCCAGTAACTCAAAATCTAATTAAAGATTACAGAAAATTCCCAGTAACTATCAGGCAGCTTGTCATATTTATCTTTTCAGTACTAAATAGATGTCAACATGCATTTGAAACTTTGATAGCCTGCTTTAAAAACTGATGATAGCATGAGAAAAGTACAGAAGATGCAGCTTCTTTCCACCGTCTTCCAGTGATTAAGGGCTGTGTATCAGCAACAAACTCTCAGTTGAGAGTCAGGAAATTCCCTACCTCTCAAATCTTCCTAATCCAAATCCATTAAAAAAAATAGGACAGTGATATTTATCTTGGACAGCAAAAATGGAGCACACAAAAAAAAGGCGTATAAAGAACGCAACCGAGGTCTGATGGAGAATGCACATTAAATTTATCTTTCCACTTGTCTGGACGTAATCTTCTCCCCCTTCCATCTGTAAAAGATTTTACTGGTTTCAGAAATTAATTCTGCTGCTCCCAGGTTTACAAGGGAAACAAACTGAAGACGGTGAAGAGCATACCAAATTGAAAGCTCCTTCAGCCTGTACACATGATACTGGGGTCAACCCAGAGTGATTTCCTTCCTTTTCACTGGATTTGCATCTGCATATTTTACTCAAACATATATAGAATGCTGCAGAGCAGAGGGAGTTAGGTAAGCACTTTAGCATCACACAAATAAACCCCCTTCATTATACATTACTATATGTAGAACGTTGAGCTCAGGCAGCTAAGAGTCACCGTACGACCTTGTTACCCAAGCAGCAGGGTAAGTGCAATCCTTAAAGCCAGAATTCTCTGAAGAGACTTGGGCTGGCATTTCAAAAGGAACTCCAAGAAACTGTAAATCTGACTGCTAACCAAAGCCAAATATGAAGCTATTCTCCAGGGGCCCTTAAAAGAAAAACAATGCCTTCACTCTCCATTTGGTCTCTTGCCGTTTCTCCGCGCAACAAACTGAACTTTTGAGCAAATCGTGAGGTAAACGCAGTCAAATAGTTGCTACGTGTCTTCTTTGACAGCAAAACATAAGCATCCACAAGGATGCATTTATTAATTATCTTTACAAAGCATCTGCTCCTCACTGGAATGTCTCACCCGATGGTGCTGCAGCATTTGGGAAGCAAAACTCACTTGGGCAGGTTTCCAGACAGAATTTTCCAGGCGTATTCCCGAAGGTACTTCTGGAATATGGTGGTGAGGGCTATCATCGGCTCGCCTGTGCTGAGCTGGGAGCACTGCACCATGCACTTCTTGTAGTACACGAAGAGGTCGGCACAGCTGGGCAGGACGGCTCCTCCCTCATCCACGTTGGGTCTGGGGGCACCTTGAGCCTTGAAGTCAGCCACAAACCTGTCAATCAGCTCGCCGAGATTTCTGATGCGGGACAACAACAGAAAGGTATCTTAGTATTTTGGGGGAGGGAAGAGAGAGAATAATGCTTCAAACCAGATGCCCTGTCTTGTGACACCAGCCAACACACGGATTTTAGCAGTTGGGTACTCCAGCCCTTCCTTATCTCCACCTTCTCAGCACAAAGCTCATACAATAACGCGGACTGGACCGATGAGTAACGACCTTTTGTACTCAGAGAGTTTTAGTGGCAGCCCCAATCTGTTCTCCAGTCACATATAAAAGCTCACAAGGCTGCCAGGACTGGGTTCAGCACATCTGATGCAAGTGCATAAAGCATCTGCTCAAATTTCATTCCTGGCACCGGCAAAAGCAAGTCGGGCTTCCCATATCAGCGGCCTCCGGAGCAGACCCGGGGGAATATGGCTTTTAAAGGGATGTGCTCAAAATGGTGTGCCATTTGCCAGTTCTTGGTCCCATTTGGATACCACCTGGTTTTGTACAGCTTCACACGTCCCTTCAAGAAGTTTTATTTAGCGTGAGCGCAAAGTGCACTTCCGACTTAAACTCTTTTTAAAAGCACAAAAAGCCCTCCAGTGTCTCCAGTGATTCATTATAACCTGGGCTGTACTCAAATATTTTGGTCTTTAGGCAACAATAATCTTCACTCCACCGTTTCATCACACAAAAAGGCTTTTTAGTGTGGCAGAGGGCCAGGACCATCAATGGAGGTCCAAAGAAGTCCTGATCTTGGGAAATCCCTCTGGTCCTACTCCTCCAGAGACAGCACAGCCGTGTCAGGAACAAGGACCAGCCCTCCTGACACCGGAGCTCAGCTACGTGGAGTAACCTGCGCCAGATGAAGTGCGTTATAGCAACAAACCTCCTCCCCCAGACACACAAACGTATGTGAACTTCCACAAGGAAGTCTGGGTTTTGAGGAGTGTACAGACATTTCGGATGACAGAGTGGCACTCTGCTGACCAAAAGCAGTTGTGAAGTCCCTGTATCTTAGAGTCCCACTTCCACTACGGTCTTGGCTCTGCTTCCCCCAGTTCTCTCCTTTCCATGGCACAGCCTTCATCCCGCTCACTGCTGAGGGGGGCAACGGCTGTGCCATGCCCTGATCCAGCGCACCGAAGTAGAAAGCCAAATCCTTAGGAGAATGACAGAATAAAGAACCTGAACTGTAGCTCCCACAAGAAACTGAACTATCATTTAAGAAAACAAAAAGGCATTACTTTATAGCCAATGCATTATCATTATTTTTCAGGAACAGACTTATTTAACAGAACTGCCGTGCTGTCCACAGAAATGAGAACTCTAAAAGCCTGCCAAAGAGTTTCAACTCGCAATGTTCTCCTGATCTTAGGGCAGCTCACGGCACAACCCAGGAGCTCATGCAAAGAGACTGCATTAGGGTCCCCTGGAAGGGGACATTCTCATTCACCTCTGCAAATGAAAGAGGAAAAAACCTGCCAGCGATGGAACTTTTCCCCAGTTGCTGCCCTTTCTTTCTTTTCGCCTTGTGAAAAAGAAAACCAGCACCGATTCCAGTTTCCTGAAGAACCTTCAAGTAGAAAAGGTGACCTGGCTCTTCCCTGATAAACATACAGATTGCTGCACCAAAATGGATGAGCTGCTGTGGGTGATCCACGGGGCCAAACCCATCTGCAGGAACGTGCTTGGTGTCTGGGCTTTAAACCATGAAGCGAGGCTCTTTGGCTTAAGCGAGGCTCAGCGGCTATTGCAAAGACAAGTAGCCCCTTTCTTCACGCTTACTGCTTGCTGCTCAGAGTACTTCACATAGCTCCCATTCCACAGATACACACAGTTCCTCGGCTTTGCTACAAGACCTGTAAAAACATCAGGCTGCTCAACCGCTGTGATAAATCTCGACGCTGGCCCAAGCAATTGAACGTTCAACCGAAGCATCGATCGTATTCGACCAGAGTGGAGCGAAATATCCCTCCCCCCGTAGCTGCAGGGGAGCCGGAGGGAGGCTGCAGGAGGGCTCACACGTGCTACGAGCTGCAGCGTCCCTTCGGGTTCTCAAGGAAGGCGGACGCAGCTCGCTCCTTGTCAATTAAGCAGCTGCATTTCCACCCCGCATCTGCCCCTTGCTCCATCTGGGCAACAAAGTGGAGCTTTCTTCGCGTTCGCCAGCCACTTCGTGGGTTTTTTTTTTTCATTCTCCCAGTCTCAAGACGCAGTGAGGAATGTCAGTGGCTTTTGTTTCGTTATGCTTACTCCACATGTTCTCCTCTTCTCCGAGGCAAAGGGAAATGTATCTACATTTTCCCAGCCCCCCATGGTCTTGTCAACGGGGATGCAGGAGCAGATGCAGCTGTCCAAAAGAGCTGGGAGAGCAGCACTGGAGCTTCGTGCTTGTTCTGATCCTAACCTGGACAAACTGCCTGTCAAAGGCAGGCCG